AAAGTAGTAGCCAGCAATGGACAATACTTTGATTAATCAGTTCATTAATTTTGTTCTGAAATAAATGCATTTTTGATCGCAAAAAATAGACTGAACTAATTTGTACTCACAATATAAATGAGATGGCAGCACTGCATTTTTTATTTCTGTTTTAAGGTGCAAAATTAATCTTTTAAAATGGTTAATATTTTAAGGTGCTTTTTATCTTTTCAAAATGGCAAATGCAAGAAATTATTTTTCAGGGTTGCCACTTTTCAGGGAGAATAGGGAAAAATCTGGAAAATACAGGGAAATTAAAAATCACCTAAAATAACAGGGGAATTGCTGGGAATTTTGATTTTTTCTTTACAAACTGGAAAAAATTCAGGGAATTTTGTTTCTTATTTTTGTCTTTTAAAAAATGATGACTACCCGAAGCGTAATCTATGGGATATTTAAGCAAGATATTTCAGCTATACTAAACTATTTCATTTACTGTGTCATTATTTAAGTATCTTCAACTGTTCCTTTTTTTCTCTCTAAGTTTTTCCAACAGTTAAAGTTAATATAGTTAGCCCAATACAGCTCACACAAGAGCACATTAATTGTTCTGTTTCTTCTTAATATATTGTGTATTATATGTACAGGGAAAACACAGGGAATTTTCTTCCAGATTTGAGTTTCAACCCTGTTTTTTTTTTTTTCATTATATTTTCTGGATTATTGCCATTATTATTGTTGCTGGAAATATTTTTATTATTTTAGTTAGTGTTTTTTTTAAAAAAAATATGTATCTTTCAAAAATTTTATTATAATATTTTACATTTGCGATATCCTCTTTTTAGTTGTGTTTAGTACTTTCTATATATAGGATGTTGGGCAGGGATGATGACAGTTCTTCTAACCTGTTCTTCTTATAAGAATATCTATTTTCAGACTTTTTAGTGTTTTTCTGTTATATTAGGGCGAAAATGTTATTTATTTTAGATAATCATTTAAATATTAAAATGTTGATATTTAGTATTGAATGTAATTAATAAAGTAGTTACATACTTGTAAAATTTAGGTGTAATGTGAAATCTTTTTTTCTAATTTTAGTGGTTTTGAAATTATGAAGAAAACTATGTACTACATAGTTATGTTATGAACTTAATATTTAAAATATACCGTCATGTGGGGCTACTTTGTGCAGCGGGGGCTACTTTGTGCAAATTCGAATTTGGCACTTTTCAAGTGCTGCTATTCGGTATTATGTTTTTTTCACGTTAAAAATGTGTGGAATTTGAAGATAGAAGTCTCCTCTATTACTACAAACATTTTTTCGAATTTTAAAATAATCTCAGAGTGTGTTTTGTTTATCCAATGTCAGCAACTTTCCGAGAACGTCGGACGTCGAAAAGTGTGCGTGGAAACTTTAGTTGTAAAATGCGACGTTGAAGAAACAATTGTCGTAAGTGCAAAATTTTTAATTTATATATTAATAAACAATTATATTATGTTAGCGTTAAAAAATTTGAAAATTAATAACAAATAAACGGAAAATGAATAAAAAATGCACTGTGGGTCTACTTTGTGCAAAGTTTCATTCGTTTTTTTTTT